AACATGTCCAAACTGAATAAGTAACAAACCAATCATCATCTCCCATTCACTCCACTGCCACTGATATTCACAACTTTTCAGACTCTCAATTCCCCCAACTACCTGCTTCCTCTACCAGGACCTGGAATTTGAGTGGTGGAAATAACTCCAACTTGTCATATTCTGCACAAGCTTAAAAATCTAAATGTTCTGTCAGCACTCAAATACTGAACCTGTTCAGCAATCTCTTGAAGCTAAAATCTCTCTCACCCAACTGATTGATTTTTTATCACGTGTTCTGTCACTATGCAATTACTCAGATTCCACTGCCACAAAAGAAACCATTGCCAAAATAGCTGCTGAAAGTTTCAAACTCAATCCATCAGCTGAGTTAAAGGATACTAGTGCTTTTTGCTCAGTGCTGCCAGAAACATCAAATCCCCAGAACACTGAAGCTCAGGCTGTAAGGCCCAGTGATGATCCTGCACCTATGCCCTCCCTGGAGACAGCAATGGATGACTCAGATGTATTTGTTGAGGATGGGCAGATTACTCCCTCACCAATCCTAGGTGGAGCTATCTCCAAGAAAAAACAAAAAACTTATTCTCTTCGCCCTTCACCAGTAATAGGGGGCAAGCCACAACCTAAGATAATGGGTAAACAACAGAGGACTTTTCTCAAAGCTGCAGTTACCTCACTTAAGCATAGTCCAAGAAAATGTCAGTAGACAGACAGCTGAAAGTACTGCAATGGAACTGCCATAGTCTGCGTAATAAACTGAGTAACTTTAAACTGTATCTGTACACACACAAACCCCACATTGCCTGCTTATCTGAAACATGGCTATCAACTGGCTATGAGCCAAAATTTATTAATTATACTCCAATTTATAAACATAGAGGTGATGCACAAGTTGGGGGAGGCCTGGCTATTCTGGTGAGAAGTGATGTCTCTTTTTTAAATATAGATCTGGCACCTTATCCACTGGGGAACTTAGAGGTGTGTGGGGTTAAACTCTTTGAATGTATACAACCCCTGCCAAAACATTACAGTAGCAGAACTAAATCACTATTCGAGACAACTGGGGTCATCTCGGCTAATTGTTGGAGAATTTAATGCCCACAGCCCAATGTGGGAACCAAACAAGGCTTCAAACATCACAGGAAAGAGTGTAGAGGACCTTTTGCTGCATGACCCATCCTTATGCCTACTAACTCCTGCCTCACTGCCAACATTTTATAGCATTTATCACAATTCATTTTCAACGCTGGATCTCTCACTCATATCATCCCAGTTACAGCCAATATCTACTGTGCTCACTGGAGAAGACTTGGGCAGTGATCACTGTGCCATTTTCACTTGTGTTGGTGTGGAACCATCAACTATTCTGTACAAAGTCCGCCCATCTTGGAAGTTTCAAGGAGGCTCATGGAGCTTGTGGTCATCTCTACTCATTCAAAAGGGTACAATGCAACAACCAGACCTCGAAGCAAGTAGTATCTCATTTGCAAACAATATCAGAGCAGCTAGCCTTCAGGCTTTTTCTCAAACAAAGGAAGTATTAACACCAAGATTAACACCCCAAAATGTGCGGAAGCAGTGGCTGCCAAAAGAACAGCTAAAAAAGCCCTTCTCTCATGCCCATCTCCCCCTGTTCTCATTGCTTACAAACGAGCTGAAGCAAGAGTCAAGTGGGAAGTGAAAAGAGCCAAACAGGACTCATGGAAAAATTTTTGCAACACTGTTACATCAGACACTCCCCTAAAAATACTGTGGAAAAGAGTTAAAGGCCTTCGAACGCCATACAGCCGCAAATCGCAACCCTTTATTGTCAACAATTAACACAGTTCTCTCTGACCCCCTATCCTAAGTAGAGGCTCTTGCAACTCACTATGAAGAGGTCTCAGCATCTCCTGCACCATCCCCTTACCCCTCGCATGTCATACTACTACTAGCACTGGCATTGAGTGATGAAAGCGACTCAGACCTGAACCAGCCAATCACTCTCTATGAGTTGAACAAAGGTCTTGAACACCTTAAAAAAACGTCACCTGGCTTGGACCAGGTTCACAATGAGCATCTATCCCACTTACCAACAGAATATCAGGCTTGGCTGCTGGCAGATTTTAACCATTGCTTTCTTGAAGCCACACTTCAAACAGCCTGGAAGACTTCCCTTATAGTGCCCATACCCAAACCTAATAAAATGCTAACCTCTGTTTCCTCCTTCAGGCCCATATCCCTGCTCTCATGCGTGGGAAAATTGCTTGAATGGATATTAAACAAACGTCTGAGTTTCTTCCTGGAGCAAACTAACTCCTTCCGTGCATCTCAAGGAGGGTTCCGATGCCGCATTGCTGCAATAGACCAAGTTGCCAGACTGGAGGCAGCTATTCGAGCTGCTCTGAAAACCAAATCCATTCTACTGGTAGCCTTTTGCGACCTCACTCTAGCCTTTGATAAAGTCTGGCACACAGGACTGTTATACAAACTGAGTCAATGTGGTGTGCATGGGACAATGCTGCAATGGCCGCGGGCCTATCTAACAGATCGGTACTTTCAGGTGCAGTTTGAGGGTGAGACCTCATCACTGAAAACGATCAAGTCTGGAGTTCCTCAGGGGGCCATTCTCTCTCCACTGTTGTTTAATGTCATGATGAAAGATCTCCCTTCATTGCCAGGCGTGTCTACTGCTGACTATGCAGATGACATCACTTTCTTCACCAGTAGTCCAGACATGAACACAGCCACTAGTAGAATTGAATTGCAACTCTCACAATTTTTCCAATGGGCACAAAGCTGGGGTTTGACTCTAAATCTCTCTAAAACTAAATGCATGTGTTTCACCAACAAGAAAGTAATTCCTCCTCCACTGAACGNTAAGGAAGTTGTGGATCCACCTTAACAGGCTTCCTCCTACCCCCAACAGCCTCAGCTTTCTAAAGAGCACCCCATGGTCAACTTTGTCAAATGCTTTAGCAAAGTCTAGGTATACCACCTGTCTCTTATACACATCTAGATGTGTATAAGAGACAGACTCAACTGAGTGTTTTGATAATGGAAAGAAGAGCACTCTATGCAGTTTTAATAGATTTAGGAATGACTAGTTTATGTAAGTAGGGACTGCCTTTTGTGAGGAGTGCTCTTCTTACCCCACTTTGCCGAGCCTTCCCTAGCCTCAGTCATAACCCCGCCCACAGGAGATTGTGTTTAATTTATTTGTTTTGCAATCAAAAGTTCATCTCTGTTCCTTTTGCTGTCGAGTCCGAAGAAGCTCCAGGCTGCCCCCACCCAGGCTGGACCTTCAGTTAGCATGATGATCTCATGTGTGGCGCAAGTTAGGGCATGTGTGTGACTGTGACAACTAATACTAGATTTGAACTAGAATTGTTGAAAAGAATATTTACCTGATGACTGACCGTAGTGGTAGCATCCAAAGTTGTTGGGCCGCCTCTCTGAGGAGGTCCACGTGTATATATAGAGATATGATATGCTGTATAGATATAGATGTTTGTGCATATAGATATGCTTTGCGGCTCTGACTTGTTACTCGGCTCCGCGGCATTCCTCGGCTTGGTCGTGTTCCACGGCTCTGCCGTGTCCCACGACCGGGCCGTGTTCTGCGGCGGAGCCGTGGAGTGCGGTGCAAGTCGCCATGTCTTGTTCACTTCAACGGGTTTGCCGTCCATGCTGTTATGTTATTGCATTTCATATTGTTTTGTTCTTTTGTTCTAGCATGCTTTTTTTTAATTTTTTTCTCTTATTTCAAATTTTATTTTATTTTTTCTTTTTATTCATTTTACTTTATTATTATTCTTTTTTATTTTTAATTTCTTATTTATTTTATTTTATCATTATTTTTTATTTACATATTTTTCTTTTTAATTTTCATTGTTTTTGTTATTTACTCTAATATTTATTTCATTTACTGCTTTATCCTTATTATTTGTCTACGTTTAATTTTTGTATAATTTTATTTTATTCAGTTATTTATAAATATTATTATTATTATTTTATTATTATTATTATTATTATTATTTTTTTCTTTTTTCCGTGTGTGTGTTTTCTCTCTGTTTCAGGTTTTTGTTTTCAGAGCTGTTAAAGCAGTTAGGTACAAACTAAACCCAGTTTAGGCAAGGGGCTTTATGGACTAGTTTCCAGTGCTCCTATAAGAATAAATAAGAAAGAAAGAAAGAAAAGAATTTTGGTTTTCCTGTGTTAAGTTTACTTTGATCATTCATCGTGATAGGACGTTAGTTCTTGGCGTTCTGAACTATTTTCAAAAATTTGCAACTGAGGTGGATTGTGGATTTTTTTTCAAATCTAAGTAATTAAATGTTTGTAGTTGAATTGTCGAAGTGCTGTTCTAACACTAACAAGTAGCAGTCAGCCAGTAACACCTAACTTAAAGTCTTGAACTTGTTACAAAATTATATTTATAGCAATGTTGAGATTTGTATGCTTATAATATCCTTATTACTACAAAGAACCACTGTATGAAAATATTTTAACCATTGCACGTTTGTATTTGATTTTTGATTTTTAGAGGAAAAAACATTTGGAAATTTCAAATTTCGAATATAGGCCTACGCTTACCCAATTTTTCAATCCATATATTTTTATATTATCAGCAATCTTACTTGCTAACATGTCATGTAGGTATGAAGGTGAAGCTAAAACTTGTAGCTTTATTAGAGCCTCTTGGCATCATTTGACTAAAGTTACATTAAATTATGCTCAATATATTTTATCTAAAATATGAAATGCATATAAATCTGGAAAAAATAAACTCAATCAGTCTCAGTGGCTATAGCCTATAGGGTTATCAATGAGCCCATCACCAGTTAGGTATCAAAAAATTTTGCAAAATCATTTAATTTAGTTACTATTTACTACCATAGGACGTAGGTATAATTTCTTGTAATAATGGAAAAAGCCTTTATTTTTTGCTTATAGAGAAAAACCATATCATGCACTTGATAATGTGCAAGATTATTTATTATTATTATTGCAACAATGCCAATCCAATAAGTCTTTTTAAGAGAGTTAAATTCTATATATCGATAAACTAATAATTTTTCCGTCTACAGAATTGATTTACTATGGAATCAGAAGACATAGCAAAGCTTAGAATTTCTATAAGAAATTACATTGAAAGAGTAAGTATCAAGTGATTAAGTCAGTTCAATAATTGAAAAAGTTCCTAACTATGTACCGGTACCTATCTTTTTTATATTTATATTCCTATACAACTTCATTATTAATGTGTAATAAAATTTATTAATGTTCACAAATTCTAAAGAAGGTCTGCTTTATCTACAGCTTATCAAAACTGGTTTATTAGTCTTGAGTTTAAAATTCAACTGTCTGATGAGAATAAATTTTGTTTTGAAAAATATAAATGAAAAATCTCCATAATTTTGTCGAGTCATTGCATTGGCAATTAGGTACCGGTATCTGTTGTTGGATCAATGTTGTACACTTGTACTTCTATAACTTATAGAAGTACAATCTATAGGAACAAAATAGTGTTTCAATCAAACATTCTTTACCTGAGAAATCATGCATCACTACAATTTACATAACTTAAAAAATGATGAAAAATGCAAATTCACTCAATTTAGTGTGAGTTTATTTTCTGTTCTGGTCACCACTCAACAGCATATTTGTAGGGCCAGTTTGAAAAGATTAAAAGTGACATGTCTTAATTTGCTTTCTAGATTTTTCAAAATATTTTTAATTTGAGCCTCTTTCATTCTGGTTTTGAGTGAACTGTTGCAAATAGTTATTTCGTCACTTAATCTCAGTTTTCTCAAGAATACACAGGATAACTAATTTTTTTATTATTTGTTAATTTGTTAATTTTTAACTAATATTTGTACTGTACAGCATCTCACATTTTTCTCAAGCATAGATAGAATAACTAATTATTTATAATTCATTAATTTATTAATTTTTAACTAATATTTGCACTGTACAGCATCTTGCATTTTTTTCAAGCTCAAGCATAGATAGAATAACTAATTATTTATAATTCATTAATTTATTAATTTTTAACTAATATTTGCACTGTTCAGCATCATTCTGAAGCTTTAAAGCATCTCATATTATAACCAAGAAAAGACAGGATAAAGAATTTATTTGAATTAAAAATATTTTTTATTGTGCAGCATCACTTTGAAGCTGCAGAGTTTTGGGGGGACAAGGTGGTGAGTGTGACGGGTGGTGCGGCCACTGATGTGTACTGGCTGGCACAGACGCTGCTGCACACCCGTCAGTACCACAGAGCTTGTCTGCTCATCAACAAATACAACCTCACTAGTGTAAGTCTTGACACTACCTCACTAGTGTAAGTCTTGACACAACCTCACTAGTGTAAGTCTTGACACAACCTCACTAGTGTAAGTCTTGACACAACTTCAACTTTGAACTCACGTACTTTATTTTGCTTCGTTATTGAACTATTCCTTTATTCCTTTATTTGTATTAAAATACAAATGCTGTTTGAAAATTGATATTATTTTAGTCTGATTATTTATTATTTTTATTACACATTATTTAGTCTGATGACACAATCCAAATCTCAGGAACCTTGGTAGGGCTTGCAAGGACTCCTGGCAGGAAACTTTGTCTTCATTGCAAGGTGCATGCAATTGTTGTTCTATATACCTATATGATGGTCTATATATCTATGAGGGTCTATATATGCATGTGTTGGTTTATATATACCGTATGGTGGTTTATATTTATCTATGGTGTTTTAAATATATATAGAATTCTGCTTATGGTACCTACCGTAGTTGTGAAAAAAAAATAATCAATTTTACTGCATGTGACATCACTCTCAACAGTCTAGAAAGTCTTGATAGTATTGATTTAATTATTTTTGAGTGAGATTCGTATATATTACACTATTCAGAATTGTATGTCCTCTTGTAACCACTGTATAATACTTGCTTCTGAAGCCACCCTGACTTTGCTGGATGAAAACATCTAAAGGAAAATTGCAAAATGCACAAAATGCAGCACAAGTACATTGTATGCCTGTATTGTACAGTACACAGCACTACATTGTACACCTGTATTGTGCAGCATGCAGCACTACATTGTACGCCTGTGTTGTGCAGAATGCAGCACTACATTGTACACCTGTGTTGTGCAGAATACAGCACTACATTGTACGCCTGTGTTGTGCAGCATGCAGCACTACATTGTACGCCTGTGTTGTGCAGAATGCAGCAATTGTACACCTGTGTTGTGCAGAATACAGCACTACATTGTACGCCTGTGTTGTGCAGAATGCAGCACTACATTGTACACCTGTGTTGTGCAGAATGCAGCACTACGTTGTACACCTGTATTGTACAGTACACAGCACTGCATTGTACACCTGTATTGTGCAGAATGCAGCACATACATTGTACGCCTGTGTTGTGCAGAATGCAGCACATACATTGTACGCCTGTATTGTGCAGAATGCAGCACATACATTGTACGCCTGTGTTGTGCAGAATGCAGCACTACATTGTACGCCTGTGTTGTGCAGAATGCAGCACTACATTGTACACCTGTGTTGTGCAGAATACAGCACTACATTGTACGCCTGTGTTGTGCAGAATGCAGCACTACATTGTACACCTGTGTTGTGCAGAATGCAGCACTACGTTGTACACCTGTATTGTACAGTACACAGCACTGCATTGTCCTGTATTGTACAGTACACAGCACTACATTGTACACCTGTATTGTGCAGCACTACATTGTACCTGTCTCTTATACACATCTAGATGTGTATAAGAGACAGCAGTCAGCCAGTAACACCTAACTTAAAGTCTTGAACTTGTTACAAAATTATATTTATAGCAATGTTGAGANTACACAGCACTACATTGTACACCTGTATTGTACAGTACACAACACTACATTGTACACCTGTATTGTACAGTACACAGCACTACATTGTACACCTGTATTGTACAGAACTACATTGTACACCTGTATTGTACAGTACACAGCACTACATTGTACACATGTATTGTGCAGAACGGTAGCCTGTGTTATCTGGCTGCGCTCTGCCACTTCAAGATGAGGGAGCACGAGCGCGCGCTGGACCTCCTCGAGAGCTCTGCGTGGCCGAGTGCTGGGGACGCAAGCAATGGCAAGACCTCCAGCAACGCGGGGGGCTTCACTAATCAGGTCTTCTTAATAGATCATCACTTTTGGTTCATATTTATATTCATACTATCATTACTGATAATAAAAATGATTTGAATCATCGAGTTTGAAGTCTCTCAGTACATGTCCTATCATTGGTTGTATATATTAATAAAAATGGATTGGACTACCAAATTTTAAGTCTTGTTACGATTTGTATATATGGTGGTACTTAGGACGATTTTAATTATCAAGTTTGAAGTAGTAGGTATCTTGTTAATTGTGCAATCATTGCAGAAGAATGATTTAAATTATCTATTTTCAAGTGACAGCAAATTATGAAGGTTCTTGGGAGAAATTAACCAATTATATTATATTTTATGACTAGACCTGCTGTTGCTATATTCTTATATGAGATTAAAGAATTGTTGCCACAGACTTTGTCTTGGTGCAATGTAATATAAATAAAGTACCTACAATTTTCTCTTCATGAGACATTAATTTTATGAATCATAGATTCTTTTCGACTAATGTCTTATTTATGAATTAATTTCCTATCAATAATTCATTTTTTATTGTAAATTAATAATTGTAAATTAATGAATTAATGTATTTAATATTAACTTGTCTGTACTGCAGGTGCCGGAACTGGATGACATTATATCACTGGAGTGTTCGAGACAAGTTTTGAGGGCCCAGATCTACGAGTCCATCGACAACTCCAACCTTGCCACCGAGTGCTACCAAGCTGCTCTTAAGGCAGATCCTCTTTGTTATGATGCTCTAAAAGCCCTCACAGACCACCATATGCTAACTATTAAAGAGAAAAAAGAACTTCATGACTCACTTCCAATCTCTGTTCATTGCAAAACAGAGGCTCTAAGAGACCTGGTCCATGTCAGTTATGACACTAAAATTAGCAAAGGCAGCGTCGTGGTCCTTGACTCTGATTCATGTGACATGCAGATTGATAACCTGCCTGCTCATTTATCATGCTTATCAGATAATTTAGACGTTTTGGCTGCACAGGCTGAACGCTTTTACTACAAGTGTCATTTTGTGCCATGTTTTCAATTGACCAAAAGAGTTTTAGAGGAAGATCCTTATCACACTGACTGCTTACCCATCCACATCGCATGTTTAATAGAACTTCAACAGCCCAACACGCTCTTTTTACTGGCACACAAACTAGTAGACTTGTACCCTGAACTAGCACTATCTTGGTTTGCTGTAGGCTGCTATTATTACCTTATAGGCAAAAATGAACCTGCCAGAAGATACTTAAGTAAAGCCGCTTCTATCAACAAAGTCTTTGGTCCGGCCTGGATTGCCTTTGCCCACTCCTTTGCCGCAGAGAAAGAACACGACCAAGCCAGCGCTGCGTACTTCAAAGCGGCCAACCTCATGAAGGGATCACATTTACCTCTGCTTTATATAGGCATGGAATATAACCTTAGCAATAACAATAAATTTGCACAAAATTTTTTTGAGAAAGCAATAGAAATGGCGCCCGATGATCCTTTTGTACTACATGAGCTTGGAGTAGTCAACTTCAACAACCAACAGTGAGTCAAATTATGTCACTAATACTGCCTTGTAATTTAAAATGAATGTTTTGACGTGAAATGCAGACAGCTTTTTAAAATCATTTAACTCTTGAAAGCATTGAACAAATGAGAAAACTTATGAAAATGTGAATTTTTTAAAATTAGATAACCCATCTTCAGCTGTGAAAATTGGTTATTGAATATTCCATCTCTTTCCGTAAAAATAGATTATTGGTGAATATCACATCTCTGTCTGTAAAAATTGGTAATTGATGAATATCCTATCTTTGTCTGTAAAGATAGGTTATTATTGAATATCCTACCTCCAGCTATGAAGATCATCAGTAAGCAGAAGCAAAGTATAAGTTCTTGTTTTATTTACAGGTACGAGGCAGCAGAAGGATACTTCATGCAAGCCATGGATGTGATCCAGAACTTGTACGTAGAAGCTAACGACTACTACAACATCCCCGCCAAGTGGACGGCGCTCTACAATAACCTGGCCCACACCCTGCGCAAGCTCGGCAAGATCCAGCTAGCTCTCCAGTATCATTCGCAGGTATCATTTGGCCCTGCAGTATCATTTGGTCTGGAAGTATCAATCGCAGGTATCATTTGGCCCTGCAGTATCATTTGGTCTGGAAGTATCAATCGCAGGTATCATTTGGACCTGCTGTATAATTGACAAGTATCACTTGGTGCTGCAGTATCATTGATTGTTTTTCAGCAAATCTGTCATATTGATCTGGAATTAAAATGATAGCTCTAGCATCTTTCATTTAAGGCTCTTTTTATTTTTTCATTGAGTTTAATCCCTGACAAATATAATGTCCCGATACACCGCTGACGATGTCCCCCACAGTACACCCACAACACCCTAGCACTACACCCATAACACCCTAGCACTCCACCCACAACACCCCAGCACTACACCCATAACACCCCAGCACTACACCCACAACACCCCAGCACTACACCCACAACACCCCAGCACTACACCCACAACACCCCAGCACTACACCCATAACACCCCATGTGTAACGCGTTACAGGCGGTGATGCTGTCCCCCAGCGAGGCCATATGTCACACAGGGATGGCCCTATGTCACGCGCTGCTGGGGGAGCATGAGGCTGCGGTGGACGCCCTCCATGTGAGCCTCTCCCTCCAGAGGGACCAGACGGTGGCCACCACACTGCTCACGCTCCTCATGGAGCGCATGGCCGCCACGCAGACCGTCTTCCCTGGTGCGCTGATATTCTTATTTATCTTGATTTGTATCTGCCTTCAATTAATATTATCATGCCTTTAATTAATAATATCATTTATCTTAATTTGTACCGGTATCTGCCTTCAATTAATAATATAATTTATCTTAATATTTATCTGCCTTCAATTAATATTATCATTTATCTTAATTTGTGTCGGTATCTGCCTTCAATTAATAATATAATTTATCTTAATATTTATCTGCCTTCAATTAATATTATCATTTATATTGATTTGTATCTGCCTTCAATTAATATTGTCATTTATCTTAATTTGTGTCTGACTTTAATTAATATTGTAATTTATCTTAATTTGTGTATGCCTTTAATTTTGAAAAAATAGACTTATTGTCTGAAGTAATTTTATCATTATTATATAACGAATTATCTTGCAAACTTTCCATGAAAATATTTTTCATACGTTATCAAGTTGCATTATTCTCTCGGTGTTATTTTATTTGCATTTAAAAAGTTTGTTTTAATTATTGTATGTCTGTTTCATGGTTAATGTTATTAACTTTAATGTTTGTGCAGAAGTATCGTTCACAGAGGATGTTGTTAATGTTGTTAACTTTAATGTTTGTGCAGAAGTATCGTTCACAGAGGATGTTGTTAATGTTATTAACTTTAATGTTTTTGCAGAAGTATCGTTCACAGAGGATGTTGTTAATGTTATTAACTTTAATGTTTGTGCAGAAGTATCGTTCACTGAAGACTTGGCCCCAAACCTGCTCTCCCACGAGGCTTTCCCGCCGCCCTCCCCTCCCCTGCTGCCACAGCCTGCTGGTGCGTCGTGTTGTTTATGTTCTTTTCCCTCAACATAAAAATACAATAATTATTATATAAATAAATTATATAACATATTTTTATACAATCATTATATTATATATTATTATCATGCTATTATTTAATTAATTATATAGATAAATAATTTAATTTATACTTGTTACGAGCCATAATTAAACACTATAGTTCATGCCAATTTTAATTCCATGCAAATACTCAGAATTTATTTAATCGTTTTTGAACTGAAAGATTTTCAATCCTGTGCAGTCTGTTCATCTTCATTTAACTAAAGGCATTGAATTGATTGAAATGAAGTTGGGATTGTAAAAATACAAGATATAATGGATAACAGGCAATAAGTTTTCTGTACTCCCAAGATGATTTCCAACTCTGCGTCATATGATAAAAATGAAATTATGTTTCTTTTCATTTTAATTGTTATTACGTACGGCATATGCAGATATGGAGTGCGGCACGGAGACTACCGAGGTGGACCAAGCCTGCAACATCACAACGCAGATCGGCGTGAATCTGGCGATGCCGATCAGTGCTGATTTGTCGATGCCGATCGGCGCCGATAATTCGCCACCGATCGCTGCTGATCTGGCGATGCCGATCAGCGCTGATATGTCGATGCCGGTCGGGGCCGATTTGTCAATGCCGATCGACGCCGAAGTATCGTTGCTGGGGGACGCCGAGCGATCGCCGCAGATGGACGCTGATGGTTCACTCCAGATGGACGCCAATCGTTCGCCGCAAATGGACGGAAATCTTCAGATGGACTCAAATTTGACCGTCCAGACCGACCCCGAACAGTCGCTGCACAGCCTGGAAGACATGGTCATGGATGACGACAGCGACTAGATGCTCTAAGATCTCGTATCTAGGTCATCCTAAGATCTAATATCTAGCTTGCTCTAGCATTTAATATCTAGGGCGTTCCAGAATTTTTAATCTAGGACACTCTTCACTATTCAATATATATCACCTTGTAAGCCTTTTCCTCCTTTCACATGTCTGCTAGGGCACTCTAAAATTCATAATCTAGGACACTCTTCACTATTCAGTATTCATCATCTAGTAAGCCTTTTCCTCCTTCCACATGTCTGGAATTCCGTTTAGTATCCGTACTTTTTATGCAGTCTCGTCCACATAATTTTTCTTTGTGCATATAGAAATATATATTTTTTGATCATTACACAATTTGCCGAGGTTTGCTCACCTCAACTACCTAATCAATCAATGTTTTCATTTCCTTCAATTTTTTTTCCATTTATTCAATTACATTTTTCATCATATTCATGTCATTGTCTCCATACAATATTATTATATCATCGGTTTCCCGCGTTGTGGTGTTATGGTCACCATCGGTTTTCCTTTCAGTTATGGTGTAACTGAAAGTGTTTTAGGATCATTTTTATCGATGTTTAATTATTTGTTCCCGTCATAACAATGTATAATATTCATCTCCGGCATTGCCCTGTACAATATTGCTATTAAGCTATCAATATATTAGCTTGCTGCCGCTGTGTCAGAGTCATGCTCACTTCCGTTATAATTAAACTAACAAGTTCATTATTTTTCCATTGTTTAATCATCCTTTTCTATTTTGTTACATAGATCAAAATGATAACGAAGTTTTAAATTAATTAGCTAATTTTGGGTTCCCAGAATCTTCTGAATTATTGATTTAAATGGAAGGGATATTGGTGGGGAATGGAGGGGGCATTGGTGGGGAATGGAGGGTGCATTGGTGGGGAATGGAGGGAGCATTGGTGGGGAATGGAGGGGGTATTGGTGGGGAATGGAGGGTGCATTGGTGAGGAATGGAGGGGGCATTTGTGGGGAATGGAGGGAGCATTTGTGGGGAATGGAGGGGACATTTGTGGGGAATGGAGGGGACATTGGTGGGGAATGGAGGGGACATAGGTGAGGAATGGAGGGGGCATTGGTGGGGAATGGAGGGAGCATTGGTGGGGAATGGAGGGAACATAGGTGGGGAATGGAGGGGGCATTGATGGGGAATGGAGGGGACATTGGTGGGGAATGGAGGGGACATTGATGGGGAATGGAGGGGACATAGGTGGGGAATGGAGGGGGCATTGATGGGGAATGGAGGGAACATTGGTGGGGAATGGAGGGGACATAAGTGGGGAATGGAGGGGACATTGATGGGGAATGGAGGGGACATAGGTGGGGAATGGAGGGGGCATTGATGGGGAATGGAGGGGACATTGGTGGGGAATGGAGGGGACATTGATGGGGAATGGAGGGGACATAGGTGGGGAATGGAGGGGGCATTGATGGGGAATGGAGGGAACATTGGTGGGGAATGGAGGGGACATTAGTGGGGAATGGAGGGGATATTGGTGGGGAATGGAGGGGGCATTGGTGGGGAATGAAGGGGACATTGGTGGGGAATGGAGGGGGCATTTGTAGGGAATGGAGGGGGCATTTGTGGGGAATGGAGAGAGCATTAGTGGGGAATGGAGGGGATATTGGTGGGGAATGGAGGGGGCATTGGTGGGGAATGAAGGGGACATTGGTGGGGAATGGAGGGGGCATTTGTAGGGAATGGAGGGGGCATTTGTGGGGAATGGAGAGAGCATTAGTGGGGAATGGAGGGGATATTGGTGGGGAATGGAGGGGGCATTGGTGGGGAATGAAGGGGACATTGGTGGGGAATGGAGGGGGCATTTGTAGGGAATGGAGGGGGCATTTGTGGGGAATGGAGAGAGCATTAGTGGGGAATGGAGGGGGCATTTGTGGGGAATGAAGGGGACATTGGTGGGGAATGGAGGGGATATTGATGGGGAATGGAGGGGGCATTGGTGGGGAATGAAGGGGACATTGGTGGGGAATGGAGGGGGCATTTGTAGGGAATGGAGGGGGCATTTGTGGGGAATGGAGAGAGCATTAGTGGGGAATGGAGGGGGCATTTGTGGGGAATGAAGGGGACATTGGTGGGGAATGGAGGGGATATTGATGGGGAATGGAGGGGGCATTGGTGGGGAATGAAGGGGACATTGGTGGGGAATGGAGGGGGCATTTGTAGGGAATGGAGGGGGCATTTGTGGGGAATGGAGAGAGCATTAGTGGGGAATGGAGGGGGCATTTGTGGGGAATGAAGGGGACATTGGTGGGGAATGGAGGGGATATTGATGGGGAATGGAGGGGGCATTGGTGGGGAATGGAGGGGCCATTGGTGGGGAATGGAGGGGGCATTGATGGAGAACAGTCCCTCCATCCAACCGTCCCTCCATCCAACCGTCCCTCCATCCAACCGTCCCTCCATCCAACCGTCCCTCCATCCAACCGTCCCTCCATCCAACCGTCCCTCCATCCAACCGTCCCTCCATCCAACCGTCCCTCCATCCAACAGTCCCTCCATCCAACAGTCCCTCCATCCAACAGTCCCTCCATCCAACAGTCCCTCCATCCAACAGTCCCTCCATCCAACAGTCCCTCCATCCAACCGTCCCTCCATCCAACCGTCCTCCATCCAACCGTCCTCCATCCAACAGTCCCTCCATCCAACAGTCCCTCCATCCAACAGTCCCTCCATCCAACCGTCCTCCATCCAACCGTCCCTCCATCCAACCGTCCTCCATCCAACCGTCCTCCATCCAACCGTCCCTCCATCCAACCGTCCCTCCATCCAACAGTCCCTCCATCCAACCGTCCCTCCATCCAACCGTCCAGCTATAATCATATAACCTAATTACCATCAAATAAAGAAGAAATCATTCATCAGCGATCCATACATTGCGTTGTTCCTGTACATATTCAGATCCAGGAAACGCAAACACACATGAATATAAAAACACATAACTGCACGCTAAACAAACACAAGCAAGCCAACAACACACAAATACAGATAAAAAACATAAGTAAACAATCACACAAACACAGACAAACAATGTATTCACTTCCCTCATCGCTTATTCCTGCGGACTTTTACATCTGGTGTTTACGCTCGGAGAAATGAGAAGGTCGTTGTCCGATTAGCGAAGCTGTTTTTGTTCTTGTGTAGATTATTCTAACCCACTTGCTTGCACTGGCAAAACGGAGCTTATTACAGAAAGTGTGTCGGTATTTGGGGTATATGACACATCAATTGCGTTGAGTGCAAATTTGGTATTAATGAAACACGTGGAAAAATGTCCGTAGAGTTTTGTTATTATTGAATAATGCTTCGTCTCGTCCATCACGTCTCGTTTCTCACGTCTCGTCCATCACGTCTCGTTTCTCACGTCTCGTCCCTCACGTCTCGTCCATCACGTCTCGTTTCTCCGTCTCGTCCCTCACGCCTCGTCCCTCACGTCTCGTCCCTCACGTCTCGTCCATCACGTCTCGTCCATCACGTCTCGTCCTCCTCACGTCTCGTCCCTCACGTCTCGTCCCTCACGTCTCGTCCCTCACGTCTCGTCCCTCACGTCTCGACCGACGCAGCGAGACGCAGTGCCGTCCTGGCAGTCGTGGGGGGAGGTTGTCGTCGCTCCGCCGCCGCTTCTCTTCCCTTGTTCCTGTGACGGCATCGAAAAGTTTCCCCTTATATTTGAACCCTACGAACTTTAACCCTGTTCAACTTGAACCCAATGAAGATAACTTTTATTAATGATAATAACTTATGTTATTAGCTCCACTTAGCTGACTTTAATGGCGTTCTTTGTGTGTGTTGTCCTCGGGACTTTGTTTTCAGCGGCTCAAACTGTGACCAGTTCATCCCGCGCTAACTGGGATAAACTGGATGGAGTTTCCATTAGACTGTGGATAAATAAATAATCAACTGGCTTAACTTCTAATTGATATGTTAAAGATTATTCCTAAAATGTCTTCAGCTTTCATTAAACTGTGTTTGAATTACTGATAAATTGGCTTGCGTTATCTCTGCATCGAATTTAATTTTATGATTAACTGGCTGGAGTTCTCATTAAATTGGTTGAATTACTGATAAACCTGAGTTTTTATCAAATTGGATGAATTAATAATAAACTGGTCTGTGTTGCATTAATAATGAATGATGTGATACGTGATTATCGTTTGTTTTAATTAAACTTGATTTTGTGTTTGTTGAAACTGTTTGAGTAACTGTTGAATTGAGATGTGTACATGTTAAATTGTTGAATCAAAATTGATAAATGTAACATTGTTGAACTATAAAACAATAAGTGTTGATTTGTTGAAATGACATCGCTACTGTCATATTGTTGAAGTGGGATGACTGACTTAAATTTAAGAATCACACGATGAATTCTGTTATAAATCTGTGATGAATTGTAAAAAACATGTTATTAGTGCGAGATCAACTGGGGCGAGTGATTAACTGGGGTGAGTGATATGGGTGATAAACTGGGGTGAATGATATGGGTGATAAACTGGAGGGATTGAACAACTGGGGTGAGCGTCGTATCAACTGGGATGTCGGATGAACTGGGATAATTATTATAAAATTTCGTATTAAAAGATATTTTTCATTTAGTCGTAAATTGGGATGAATTATGCTGAATTTTTTATTAGCTTAATCGAAATGGGTTGAAATTGAAATAATTCGAATTAGGCAGCCAGTAAATTGAGTAAACTCTGTAATTACGCATTGATTTAATTTTTGCGTTTATTTTGATAATTTGAGAGTGCAATGTGAGTAAATACTCTGACAAATGATTAATCCTAAACTCATAAATCATTAATAATCACAAACTGATAAATCATTTATTATTAATTGATAAACCATTAATCATAAACTGTTGAATCATTATTAAATAACTGATAAACTATTATAACTATATTAATCATAAAATGATAAATAATTAGCCCTAAAATGGTAAATAATTAATGATAAAATGATAAATAATCAATCGTAAACTGATAAATTGTTTGGTTAAACTAAATTTAAAGTTTAGCTAAATAAATTTGATTAGAGTTTAAGCAATTTTCAACAGTTATATAATGAAGGGAAGGCTGACTTGCGTGTACAAATACACAAAAAAATACAATAATAATCAATAAAGAAATAATTACAAGCGAATACAAAAAAAAGGCAACAATGAAACGGACACATAAGAATAAAAATTTCAAAGGCAATAATAATAAGAGGATACAAAAAAAAGAAATAAAAGAACGAACACCAAAATTTGAACGCATTTGAAAATAAAATACTTAAAAAAAAACTTTTTAAAAAAACACGTTTTTCTTGAGGACTAAAAAGTAGAAAATAAATTGTGGCTCGCCCCAAAAACGTGTATCGGGCAGATTTATGATAAAAGCGAAAAGCACACAACACACGAATTTGGGAAATTTGATGGTGAACGTACAGTCCGACCCACGTTTTTTGGGGCGAGCCATAATTTATTTTCTACTTTTTAGTCCTCAAGAAAAACGTGGTTTTTTAAAAAGTTTTTTTTTAAGTATTTTATTTTCTCCTTTTTAGTCCGTTGCTACACATGAAAAACGTTGTTGCGAGCCAATTTACTTGCCTTGACGTACGTATCGATGATACGCAGCGTAAGCGCCTGCTCGTCTATAACGTCAGCGCCCGCACGTCATACTATATATATACTATTTATATATACTATACTCAATTAAGCTAATTTAGGTCTCTAATTGCTAGTTTTTATGATTGTATCTGAAATTGTTAGGCGAAAATAGCCTGCATGCCGAATTTCAGATCTCTAGAGCAATCAGAAGTGGGCTAATTTTCGTTGTCAATGTTAACAACAAACAAACAAACAAACAAACAAACAAACAAACAAACAAACAAACAAACAAACAAACGCGAAGCTAAGCTAAGAAAAACGTGTTAATAAACAAGAAAATATGAACAAATAATACGGAAGAAACAAGCACAAATTTCAGCCTCATTTTTGTAAGACGCCGCAGGCGACCGCGCCTTATTAGGCCTTAATGATGCGCGCCCCTCGCCTGCTGCGTATCATTGTGTCCACCGCGTATCATTGTGTCCACCGCGTATCATTGTGTCCACCGCGTATCATTGTGTCCACCGCGTATCATTGTGTCCACCGCGTATCATTGTGTCCACCGCGTATCATTGTGTCCACCGCGTATCATTGTGTCCACCGCGTATCATTGTGTCCACCGCGTATCATTGTGTCCACCGCGTATCATTGTGTCCACCGCGTATCATTGTGTCCACCGCGTATCATTGNCTGCCCTGATACTGCACTGCCTGCCCTGATACTGCACTGCCTGCCCTGATACTGCACTGCCTGCCCTGATACTGCACTGCCTGCCCTGATACTGCACTGCCTGCTCTGATACTGCACTGCCTGCCCTGATACTGCACTGCCTGCCCTGATACTGCACTGCCTGCCCTGATACTGCTCTCTATGAGATTCATTTTTCAAACATTTAATTCTTGAATTGCGGTGAACTTTTTCACTATGATTATTTGAGAGCTATTGTTATTTTCTTACCATTTTTTCCAGAGCTGCATTGTAACATTGTAAATGATTTGTTTAATATTTGTGTACGAGGGAACAAAACCAATTGTACGTTTATCTTGAAATTTATGAGGTAATTATCTTATGATTTTTTACAAATTTTTTCGGGTCAGAGGCAAACATTTTCATAGTCATTGTTAAAAAAATAGAGAACAAAAATGCTCAAGTTATTGAAGAAATTCAAGTTTGATGATAACATATGATTGTGATGATAATAATGAAAAACTGTCGTTAAAAATGTGGTTAAATTATAAAAAATATAGTTTGAAATATTGAAATATAAAAAGAAATGACGATATGGTGGAATTATCTTCAACAGTAATTTCTGATTTTTTAAAAAATAATTTTTCTTGGTGAAGTTTATATACAGACAATACAGTGAAACTCAATAGATTTTCTTTATCCTGTGACTGAAACGATGCATAAATATTAAAATTAAATGCATTAAAATCTTTGAAAAAACATGAAATTTTTCTCACAATTTTTTTTTGAAAAAATTATAAATTTATTTGGAAATGGAAATATTTTTTGAAATTTTTGCGCTTGAAAATATATTTTTATGAATTAAAAGTGAATAAGGTTATGGAAAATTGGATGATGGAACTGCCTAACTGGCGATGCCAGTTAGGCTCAACTGTGAGAATTAATAGGACGAATGTATTGCGAATGTTCACCTCATTCATGAATGTGTGTTTGCTGTGTTTTTTGTTTTCGTGTAGAAGATTTGGCTCAAGTTCTCCGTATAAAGTTCCAGCAACAACAAGAATTCATCGAAAAGAGTTCGTTCTGTCGAGAACAGCTCTTGTTCTCGCATTGATACTGTTCTTTGCTACAGGTGAGGCACCGTTATAGCTGCTACAGAGTAAATAAATATATATAGAGTAACTATAACTTCTAGAGTAACTATAACTATACCTATAGCTTCTAGAGCTACAGTAACTATACCTATAGCTTCTAGAGTAACTATCGATATAGCTGATAGAGTAACTATAACTATCGCTATAGCTGCTAGAGTAACTATAACTATTACTATAGCTGCTAGAGTAACTATAACTATCGCTATAGCTGCTAGAATAACTATAACCATCGCTATAGCTGCTAGAGTAACTATAACTATCACTATAGCTTATAACTATCGCTATAGCTGCTAGAGTAACTATAACTATCGCTATAGCTGCTACAGTAACTATAACTATCGCTATAGCTGCTAGAGTAACTATAACCTCTAGTTGCTTGTCTCCAGTTCACTGATTCAAAATTCCTAGAATTCCCGATTAGTTTAACCTAGAACCTATGACCGCCTAGTTTACCCTGGCCTATTCTCTCTCCTCCGCTACTATAACTTACATTTTAGTTAGTCTAATTTAGTATCTAGAGTTACGATTATTTCTCTATCATATAGTTTATTTCCTGAGTAGCCATATCTATTCAATTAATTCATGCAGTTTGTGTAACTCTGACTACATCTATCGTTTCAATCGCACAAATTATAAATTTCATAGGCAATGATTGTTTTCAATTGTTTATGTACAATTTTCTTAGCTGATTGTTCTATATATACTCGCCCCAGTTTATTACTCTATCTATATTTTCCCCAGCTGATTGCTCTATCTATATTTCCCCCAGCTGATTGCTCTATCTATATTTTCCCCAGCTGATTGCTCTATCTATATTTTTCCCAGCTGATTGCTCTATCTATATTTGCCCCAGCTGATTGCTCTATATATATTTCCCCCAACCGATTGCTATATATATATTTTCCCCAGCAGATTTCTCGCTATATATTTTTTCCAGCTGATTGCTCCCTATATATTCTCCCCAGCTGATTGCTCCCTATATATTCTCCCCAGCTGATTGCTCCCTATATATTTTCCCCAGCTGATTGCTCCCTATATATTTTCCCCAGCTAATTACTCCCTATATATTCTCCCCAGCTGATTGCTCCCTATATATTCTCCCCAGCTGATTGCTCCCTATATATTTTCCCCAGCTGATTGCTCCCTATATATTTTCCCCAGCTAATTACTCCCTATATATTTTCCCCAGCTGATTGCTCCCTATATATTCTCCCCAGCTGATTGCTCCCTATATATTCTCCCCAGCTGATTGCTCCCTATATATTTTCCCCAGCTAATTGCTCCCTATATATTTTCCCCAGCTGATTGCTCGCTGTATATTTCCCCCCAGCTGAGGGCAACCCCAGGGGGATTGACTGGGGTCAGTGGTGGACGTACGAGGGGATATCAGGCCCCAGGTTCTGGGGGGTCATTAACCCCGCGTGGGGGATGTGTAGGGATGGCAGACGCCAATCCCCCATCAACGTGGACCCCCGCACCCTCCTCTTCGACCCCAACCTCTCCCCCTTCACGGTCGACAAAACCAGCGTGAGTTGCTGGGGCCTTTACATTAATATTTTTTATTTCAAATTATCTATTTTCACAGAATTTATTTTAAAATTAGTAAGGAAAAATGTGGGTTTTATTCATTAATCATTTTCACTTTAACATCAATATTTTTCAATTCAACTTTTCTATTTCCACAGCATTTATTTGAAAATTAGTAAGAAAAATTTGTTCTCTATTTATTAATATTTTTCACTTAAGCCTTGTCATTTTCTAAGATTTTATTCGAAAATTAGTAAGAGAAAATGTGGGTTTTATTTATTAATATTTTTCACTTAAACCTTGTCATTTTCACATAATTTATTTGAATTATAGTGAGAAATATATTTTTATTTATAGTAATGTTCGAGTGACAGATTTTATTCAATTGGTATATAGACAAAATTTTGTAATGTGGATTTTGATTTGGTTTCATAATTAAAATAACAGATTCTATTTAATGGAATTACCAGAATGTTCTAATGTTGGATTAATTTTGAATAAATTTTGGAATGGATGGTTTTCCTTCATTATTTTTTTGTCCTAAATTTTTATTAAATAAAATGGAATATTTATGGATTTAATAAATGAATATTGTAGCGGCAATTTGGGTAACGGATTAAGTGAATGTATTTCTCGTACACAGGTAGAGGTTTTTATTAAAAAAATATTTTGCAAGGACTTACGGGAAATAATTCATTGCATGTATATTTTGTAAGGATTTCAAAGCAGAATTGTATTCAACGGATTCCTGACAAGGATTTCAGCAAATAATTTAACCGCAAAATTCTTGATTAGAATTTAATTGAATAACTGTATCCATGAAATTCTTTTCAAGTATTCAAGTAAATAACTTTATTCCAGGGATTAGTGGCAATGGTTTAAGTGAATAACTTTTTTTCAAGGGATTCCTGGCAAGGATTTAAATAAATAATTTTATTCAAGGGATTACCGGCAAGGATTCAAGTAAATAACTTTATTCAAGGGATTACGACAAGGATTTAAATAAATAACTTTATTCAAGGGATTACGACAAGGATTTAAATAAATAACTTTACTCAAGGGATTACGACAAGGATTTAAGAGAATAACTTTATTCAGAGGATTCCTGGCTAAGGTTTATCCTAGCACCCAGAGAGACTGGATTACATCCACTCCTAAATCCTGCCGCAGATTAAGCCAATCAAATTAATTGTGAACCAGTAAACAAGAACGCCTCGGGATTTAAGTTCGTTTGAAGAAAACAAGTAATTAGCACGGTTACAAAATTGTTTGTTGAGTTAACGTGATATATTTATAGGCTGGTATAGAGGGATGGAGGTGCAGTTTAATCAAAGATAAGAAATTGTCATTAAAATATGAGAATAACAGCAATAAAGGGAAGCAGGCATTAAAAAAGTAAAATTTAAGATTGATGAAACAGAGTGATATGTTATACGAAATGAAAATAACAGTCTGGTAAAAGAGAAGAGATATGTAAGAGAACAATCCAAGCGGCAGTAAATGCCGATATAAAGGTCTATCCAAGCGGCAGTAAATGCCGATGTAAAGGTCTATCCAAGCGGCAGTAAATGCTGATGTAAAGGTCTATCCAAGCGGCAGTAAATGCCGATGTTAAGGTCTATTCATGCGGCAGTAAATGCCGATGTTATGGTCTATCCAAGAGGCAGTAAATGCCGATGTTAAGGTCTATCCAAGCGGCAGTAAATGTCGATGTTATGGTCTATCCAAGCGGCAGTAAATGCCGATGTTATGGTCTATCCAAGCGGCAGTAAATGCCGATGTTAAGGTCTATCCAAACAGCAGTAAATGCCGATGTAAAGGCCACTCAAATGCCAGTAAATGCAAAGACAGTAATCGACCAGCGCCGTTTTCTTTGATCTGGTTTATAGCAACTTATTGGCTAGCTCTTCCAACGGTAATGTTATTAGGTTTCTTTGTTTTAATTACGGACTCATCTTAACATGAAATCATTCTCCTTAAATACGATTTCTCTTACTCGCTTTTCTGTTCAAAAATAAAAATATTATATACCTCGGACAAGCGGATGAAATGCAAAGACTTTCCGTATTTCCTTCCGGATTTGCGGATGCAAACAACGAAGCCGAAAATCCGGTTACGCGAACCTGGTGGAGCTTCGAATCAGAGGCGATTTATGGATGGCCATTGGTGGCCGACGTCCAGCTCAATTTTATCCAATAAAATATTTCTCGGTTCTGATGAAGCCATACGTTTTAGTTCGGGGCCAAACCCCGGCAGCTTTGTTTCCGTTTGAATTGAACTTCCCGCAAGAATAAATACCGTCGCAGGGGCGTCGAAAATAAAACAACAGCGTGAATGTTGCAATTCGTCTTAATTATTTGATATTAAAATCGCTTTCAATCATTGTCTTTATTAAATCTTTGTGATTCGTGAATTTTTTCAAAAGTAAAAGGATGGGATATATGTTTGAAATTAATATATAAATATAATATATAGGGATGGGATATAACGGGTATAGTTTATCGAGTTTTCATTCAACTTCAATCGCATATTTCCGACGATGATATACGCAAACTGTGCTCGTACTGATACTACAACACTTCCAGTAATCCTTTATTTTCATATCCATCAAATGATCATAAATCATTTGTTTCATGTCAGAAGACGAAAGAAAACCGAAATGATAACGTCCATGATAATTGAAAACATCCATGGAATAGTTAAAACACACACGTGTTATAAAAACATGCATGTTATGAATAAAACATTCTCGGAATGATACAAAAATTCACGGAATGATCAAAACATTCTCGGAATGATTAAAACATTTTCGGAATGAATAAAACATTCGCTGAATTAACAAAAACTTCCCGGAAGGATTAAAACATTCTCTAAATTATTAAAACATGTTCAGGATCATTAAAACATTCTCGGAATGATAAAAATATTATCGGAACGATTCAAACATTCTCGGAATGATTAAAACATTCTCGGAATGATTAAAATACACAGCTAATGATAATGATCTTGAGATGATTGAAGCAGCCGGAACGATGGAATTACCCACAAAATGTCGTATTGTGACTTTTTCCTGTATCCGTTCCGTTGAACTTTTAATGAATTTTCGAAATAGCTCGAAATAAATACAAGTATTGAGAATGCCTCTCCTTACAGGTAAGAGGCTTAGCCTGATAAAAGCCACAGGATTATGCATATTCATGCATAATACATTACAATACACAGTCATGCATAATACATTAAAATACATCAAATCTTTAATCTCTGTGGAGCCATTTTTCAAACAATATTTCACGAATACATATATTACTAGCCTCCGATATATCTATGATTATTCAAGCTTTTAAATTATTACCTAATTTAAGCAATGATAATTAACGACAGCAGCGTTCAAGCTCGCACAAAACCCCAATTAATGCGAATTTCAGGTCGAGGTAAAATCTCGTATTGCGGATACACGCTTGAAAAGCCAATGTAAAAGACACAAAAACACCAATAAATTCCGGAAACATTTTCATTTATTATTGCACATCAATTATTACTAAACAACTTGTAGTTGCAGTAATGATATATGTATGTATAAATGTGCTAAATATTCTATTATTCCACCTACAGGTAGCAGGTGATCTGGTCAACACAGGGCACAGTGTTGAATGGCATATGGGTGGCTACTCCTCGTACGATACTGATGACCAATCATTCGGCCAATCATCCGGCCAATCATCCGGCCAATCAGCCAATATAGCGCCAATCAGCCAGCTAACTTCCTCGCCAAGTCGCTCAGTTCTCCCCAAAGACTACAACGACTGGAAGAACAGTCGCCAGAACTACACCGTTAACAGCGACTTATCAAGTCGCGGTTTACGTAACCGAGGGTTGGTGACCCCCCGCGGGGGGTCTGAGGGCAGCAACCCCCTTGCAAACATGTCTGGGGGGCCGTTGTCGTACACGTATTCCCTCACACACACACGACTCCACTTCGGCGACACCGACCAGCAGGGCTCCGAGCATCTGCTCGACGGCCGGCCTTTCCCAGCTGAGGTAACGGGGCGTATTGGTGGTGTATTGTTGTAGTATAGGTGGCGTATAGGTGGGGTATTGGTGGGATTTTGGTGGGGTATTGATGGAGTATAGGTGGCGTATAGGCGGGGTATAGGTGGGGTATCTGGTGGGATATGGGTGGGGTATTGATGGAGTATACTGTAGGTGGCGTATAGGTGACGTATAGGTGGGGTATTGATGGGGTATAAGTTGGGTATTGGTGGGATATGGGTGGGGTATTGGTTAGGAATAGATGAGGTATTGGTGGGGTATAGGTGGCATATTGGTGTGGTATTGGGGAGAAAGAAGTGGGGGTATTAGTGGGTTATAGGTGGGCTATTAGTAAGAGTAGCGAGTGTACAGATAAATATTGTTATGATAATGTATGCCATGTGAATGTAGGAATAAGTAATGAAAGGATAGTGAGGGTAAGAAATATTTGGTTAGGTTTATTACCAACCGAGTATTTGGTTAACTATTTATAAAAGTACGAGTAAGAAAGGTGGAGTTATTTTAAGTTCTGTTAAGTGTGGTGAAAATAGTGAATCAAAGGATATGTGATGTGTGGATATAAAAGTACAGGTAAGTAATTAAAGGTCAGTTACAGTGCATATGGCTAATTATAACCATTTATAAAAATATTTTTTTCGTTACATGGCGCAAATCCATCAGAAAACTCTCAGTATAAATCAATGTATCGTGTTTAAATTACGCCTACGACTCAATTTATTCACCGCATGTGCGAATGTCAGAGTAACGACCCCCGTAAAACTCAGCAACTTATGAGTATTAAGTATCTGGACCTACGAAAAGTTAAGACACGAACAAACTTCAGAGCGATTTTGCTGGTGGAGGCCGAGAACAAAGGAAAAGTTTTAATGGCCAAGTCTTGGTTCGAATGCGCGAACTTGAATAGCGTTGGCTAATGCCAAACTTTTTGTGTTCGGCTGCGTCTTCGGCCTGTCAAATAACCTAAGTTGTGAAACTTACTTTGCCACTGCAAACGAAAAGATATTCAATGCATCTAGATTATGGTATTGTATGTACGAATAATTTATATATCTATATCTTTGTAGAAAATCTGATACAAATTTACATCCGTAGCATGTTTGGAAATGATGAATTTTTTGGTTTTAAGGAAAAGTTTGGATTTGATAGCAAGTTATTCCATGAATTATTTAAGATGAAATTATTAAATCATATCAATTTAGGATTATCTCGTTTGTGATAACGATAGGGGCAAAGGTTAGCCATGGCTACGAGATTTTTATTTACAGGTGAGGATTTACGGCTACAACTCCCAACTCTACAATAACGTTTCGTTTACGTTACAGTTGCAGATTCATGGCTACAACTGCCAACTCTACTGTAACTTTTCTTTTACGTTACAGTTGTAAATTTATGACTACAACTCCCGATTCTACAACAACTTTTCGTTTGCGTTACAGTTGCAAATTTATAGCTACAACTCCCAACTCTAAAATAACGGTTCGTTTACGTTACAGTTGCAGATTTACGGCGACAACTCCAAACTCTACTATAACCTTCATTTACGTTACAGTGCAGATTCATGGCTACAACTCCCAACTCTACAATAACGTTTCTCTTACGTTACAGTTGCAGATTTACGGCTACAACTCCCAACTCTATCAAAATTTCAGCGAAGCCTCCAGCAAAGTTTACGGAGTAGCAGCGATTGCAATATTTTTGCAGGTATCTATTTGATACAAATTGTAACTCTTGATTTTTCAATGAGGTTTGTGAACCTGCAAAAATTAATATTTTTTTACAATATTATTAGTGAATGGAATAAAGAACATAGATGAATTTCGACTAGTCGATCCTTGAATGTATGTAGGAAGCCAACGTTAGTTTTAACTTTCAAGTGAATGTTGTGAATGTTAAAAAAGTGTAAATGTATTTTCATAATTAACCCTTGAATGTAGTAATTCGACGTATTTTTTATTTTTATGTGAATTTTGAAAGTGTGAATGTAAATAGTCTCGAAATAATGGTTTATATTTCTATCAATATTGCAACATACATCTCCTGCATACATCTCAGCCTCCTTACATTACCATGAATTATTAAATGCATATTCATAAATAGGAGGCGTGTAGAGGATATTAGCATCGCACTATTCACTCTATAAACTGAAATTAAGAAAAAACTTTTCATATTTGGCATTATTTAATGCATTCAAGAGATTTATCTTATTGATGATTTCTTAAAATAATATATATAGAGAATAGTCAATATTTTCATACAGACAATCATGTAACAATAATGAAAATCATTTTTTTTCTATCTTAAACTTACTGAGAAAAGAAAAAAATGAAGAAGGGAAATTCAATATATATCTTAACTGGAAACTTTATTTTCACAGATAATCTTAGAAGGGAACTGTATTGAATTTTTCTTTTTTATTTGCCTTTGTATTAAAGTATTCAACGATATACTTCATATCTGAGTTATTTATTTACGGACAATAGTTATTTACTCAGAAAAATGAATGGGTCACATTGTTCATATAATGACACATTTTCACTCATGGTACAAGCAGAAAGTAGCTCTGATTACCCTTCGTCCCGGGCCATACTTGATCAGGATGACTGACCCACAAAAGCGTAAAAAGGGTATCGATATTTGGACGAATTGTGACTCATTTTTTTGAGTATATATATTATACTTATTTCTATATTTTTTTATATAATATAATTATATTTATTCAGATAGGAGACGCAGTGTCACCGGAGCTGCAGGTCATGCTGGGCGACGTCAAGGCGATCAAATATGGCGGTGAGGCAGACATTGTTTTTTTTTCATTTAAGGAAAAAAGGCGCTATTGTGCTCGTCATGTCCGTCTGTCTGTCTGTCCGTCTGTCCGTCTGTCCGTCTGTCCGTCTGTCCGTCCGTCCGTCTGTCCGTGACCACGTTTTCGTCGACGAGAAAATGCGCTCTCTGTCACTCACTGCAGTGAGTACTGAGTTATATTTTTTTATACGTGATTTTTATTATTCGATTTACTCAAATAATTCAATTAATATCGGATCCTATTACGTAAATGATTCATGATTGTTTATGAATAAAATTATGACTAATTAAGTTTCTATAAGAAGTACTTCATTGGCTTGGTGGTAAAGTTCAAGGTACCAAGATGGGGGCGCTGAGTCGTGGGTTTGATCCAAGCTGCTGCGAAAATTCTTCTCTAAAATTAAAAATTAAAAATTATTCTTCAACTCAACTGTAACTTCATATACGTTACAGTTGCATGTTTACCGCTACAACTCTCAACTCTACTATAACTTCAGTTTTACGTTACAGTTGCATATATGCTGCTACAACTCCCAACTTTACCATAACGTTGCGTTTACTTGACAGTAGCAGATTTATAGCTACAACCTCACACATATTCTAGCGTTATACGCATTTATATGTAATATTATATATATATAACCCACCGTTTAATACATTATATTAATATATTTTCATTCCCCCGTGGGGTTTTTTCCCCCACCCCGCGTAGGGTCGAGCGTGCGCACGTCGCCCGTGCGGGTGGACCAGCTGGTGCCCAGCACCCAGCAGTACATGACCTATGAGGGCTCCACCACCGAGCCCGCCTGCCACGAGACTGTAACATGGATACTGCCTAACAAACCTGTCTACATCACCCGTGACAAGGTGGGTGAACGCGTCACCCGTGACAAGGTGGGTACATCCATACTTCTGTCTGCATCACCCGTGACAAGGTGGGTACATCCACACTTCTGTCTACTCAACCTAAGGGGTCAGTAAGATTCAAGGCGCCAGCAAGATCTCACGAGGTCAGTAAAACTCAAGGGCGTCGGCAAGGTCCAAAGGGGTCAACAAAGTTTAAGGGTGTCGGTTAGTTTGGTTTGTACCAGGCTTCTAGTCTCGTCTTTACTGTTTGTCACTCTCGATGAGTCGCGTCAGTCTGTCACGGTAATTCGGCCTCTGCGCCTGGTCCTGGTCGCGGAAACCTGCCGACAAGGCGAAGCGGACTCGTCGTAGTTTATTGGATGATAATTTGTTTTTTTTTTATGTAAGTTGAACGACATGGTTGGGTTTTTATGTATGTTGAACAACTAAATGCGATTACTACAGTCTTATAAAAAATGTTATGATGATGGACCAGGATTACTTGCTTGTTGATGGAAGACTGTGATTATGGTGGGGAGGTCATATAAATATTATGGTGGGTATTTCACCCTAAATAATCTCATCCCCCATACTTCCCCCACTTCATCTCAGCTGGAGGAGCTGCGGGGGCTGCGGCAGAGCAGCGCACCTCCGCTCACCCACGCCACGCTCGCCAACAACTTCCGCCCCGCGCAGACGGCGCACCACCGCACCGTGCGCGCCAACATCCAGCGCCGCCCCCTCGGCGAGGTGATCTTCAATGTTGGTGAATGTTGTGAATGTTGATGATGTTGTCGAGTGGTTTTTAGCGCATTTTCTCATTTATGGAAAAAAGGCACTGTTGTGCTTGCCATGTCCGTCCGTCCGTCTGTCCGTCCTTTACTTCACGTTTTCGTCGACGAGAAAATGCGCTCTCTGTCACTCACTGCAGTGAGTACTAAGTTATATTTTTTTGAAGAGGTGGATGCACATGCTGAATGATGTTGACGAGGTGGATGCTCATTTTGAATGACGTTGAAGAGGTTTGTGCTCATGTTTAATGATGTTGAACAGGTAGATGCACATGTTGAAAGGTGTTGAAGAGGGGGATGTTCATGCTGAATTATGTTGAAGAGGTGGATGCTCATTTTGAATGATATTGAAAAAGGTGGATGCTCATTTTGAATGACGTTGAAGAGGTTTGTGCTCATGTTTAGTGATGTTGAAGAGAGGGATGCACATGTTGAAAGTGTTGAAGAGGTGGATGCTCATGTTGAATAATGTTGATGTTATATATGCTTAATGCTAATGACACTGCCAAAGCTGATGAGATAAAAGTTATTAAATCAAACAAATGTTCATGCTGGTGAGAATCCCAACACGTTGAGGGGTGAGTGCTAAAAATGATCGGGAAAGAGTTGAACTGGGTTGAGGGACGTTAAACGAGTTGAATGGCATTAATAGGCAGAATATCTTTAATGAGTTGAATGTCTTTAATGAGTTGAATGTCTGATCTGATGCTCATTATCATGTTAGGCCGGCGGTGTTTAACGTCGAATTAGTTGTGTTTACGATTAATTTAATGTGTGATTCTTAGCTAACTAACGCGCGAACGACTTCGGTTTTTACTGTTTCCTTGTTCTTTTCCTGTTCTATTATTTTAATTTTACTTTTCTTTTATTGTCCTTTCAATTTATGCTGTTCTCTCTTTCTTTGTTCCTCCAAATTGTTTTCTCGTATCGTATCGTATACATCGCACGTATTTCAGCGTCACAATTTTACGGTCGCTGTATTATAATAAATGCATTGAATGTTGATTGATTTCACCTGAATGTGTTCACACCAGAGTGGTTTGTGTGGGGTATGCACTTGCCATTCATTCCCCTAGCGACCGTAGACTGAGTGGGTAGCTTAATCACCACTTATCTCGGTAATCAATAGGCTTCGATTGCCACTTACCACACTCAATGTTTTTTAATTAGACCTTATTTTCAATATTATTGACCTAACCTAATATAGTATTTACTTAATATCATTAATTATTAAATATTATGGTGCTAACTATTGTTTATTTTAGACCTAATTAACTTTATTATTACGCTAATCTTTTTTACTATAATACTAATCTCATTAATTAACAATATTATACTATTGATTATTAATTCGCTCCTATTGATGATTAGCCTAATCTTGTTTATTATTGCCGTATATAGTGATTATTTACCCAACTTTAGATATTATTATGTTGGAGCAAACATAATATCCTGCTATAAAAATTCTTCTTAATGTTCAATGTAAATTCTCGATGGAATTGTGGGCGGTGAAAAGTGATAGTTAGGTGGTCGTAAATTTTTAATCTTGATCTCAGGTATTAGAGTGAGGCAGTTGGAGTATAGAGTTAATCAGTTGATCATCAGAGTTAGGCAGTTGGAGATTAGAGTTATGAAGCGGGAGAGTAGAGTTATGCAGCTGGAAATTAGAGTTATGCAGTTGGAGATTAGAGTTAGGCAATTGGAGATTATAATTAATCAATTGGAATTAATAGCAGTTGTAAGAAGCAAATTAAAGGTAGAAAGTAGGTAAGGTTTTTGTGACGAATTATCAATAGTTGTTTAAAGGCACTTAGTTTCTCTTCGTGTCAGGAGCGCTCGCAGGCAAGCTACCACATCTCACGGTGCACGCACCCAACATTATATTTTAAATGTTAACTCGCCCTCCATAATATATTTGTTCTTTATCTTAACTTTTACTGGTTTTTAAAAGGAAAAAATTATTTATACATTTTTGAAATAAATATTTCATATGTATTAAAAATATTTAAATTGAAATATATAATAAATGATAAGTATTTCATATTATTATAATATATATGAACATTTAGTAGTAACATTTTTAACAAATATTTAATTTAAATTAAATTTATCATAAATATTTAACTTTGAATATATTATAATTAATAAACATTTAATATTTTTATTTTAGAAATGAAATATTTATTATAAAAACAATTCTAATATAAATTATTTATAGAAATATGAATAAATAATAAACAAATATGTATTTGCTGTGCAGGAGACGCGGTGTCACATCGCCGACCCAAGGTTTGCTTACCGAGGTGAGTGAGCATTCATAAATCATTCATCATACATGAATTGGCTCATTCAGAACAAGAAATTTCGCGAATTACAATTAGACTGAATTAAGCCATATGAATCCAGAATTTCCAGACTATTAAATTAAATGAAAAAATGTCTGTTCTTTTTGCATATGGACGTAATTATTTAATAAAATATTGATTAATTTATTTATTAAACCATGAAGTCTTCAGCCGATTTTGACCCTGGCTAATTTACTGTATGTTTCAATAGACAGTGTAAATCTTCACATGGATTCCAACAAGCTCAAGATTTTGCAAATTTTTTATTCATCATTCAGTTAGATCCATCTAATTCATTTATTAGGCCACCTAGATCTGATTTATAACCATCTGATCTCAAGGCATAATTCATCCCTAAATTATTATTATCTCATAAGCCATAATAAATATTAATCTCTTTGAAACCTCTGAATTATTCCTTGAATATTTTCACTTATCACTTATAGGAACATTCAAAATGACGTCACTTTTACAATAAAGTTCGTTTTCATTCCCCCAGTTGGGAGTTGGCTGGGGTCATGATAAGGGGGCACCGCCTTCCCCATCACTGTACTTCGCTTTAAACTCCCATCCCAAGGTGAGTCCCCCCCAAAAAATTCACCCCAGACATTTTTAGCGCATTTTCTCATTTATGGAAAAAATTAACTATTATGCTCGGCATGTCCGTCTGTCCATCCGTCTGTCTGTCCGTCCGTGATTTCACGTTTTCGTCGACGAGAAAATTCGCTCTCTGTCACTCACTGCAGTGAGTACTGAGTTATATTTTTTCTTCTTCATGCACTCAGAGCAATCAGTGGGATTTTGTCCAAATAACGATGCACTTTATGTCCTTTTATAGGTCATCCTGACCCAGTTTGGCCATATAATAGAGCATATCAATGCTCCGTGCATAAAATGTGTCACTGTTTGGACATTACGATCTGTTTATATCTCTGAGTGTGGTTCACCTCCCCATAGTCTAAGCAATATCAATAATTTAAATAATTATAGTAATATAATATTTGTCTAAATAATTATAATATAAATAATTTGTAAAATAACTGCATCAGAAATACTGCAATTTACGAAATATAATTACCCCATTTAATAGAATTGAAGGACTGAACGACAGTTACTCTAATTAAAAATCACAATTATTAATTGAAGTGAGTCAAGTGCTGAGTCACTTGAATCAGAGTAGTTATGACTTATATCTATTGAATCCTCATTCATCGTGAATGCCTTGCGCGTCAACTCATAACTTACCTCATTCATCCTGAATGACAGGGTGAGTGGATGATCATGCGTTTTATATTGTTAATTACGCGCTATTGAAAGGCTCGATGATTTCTCCAGAAATTAAATTTTAAATATAATTTGGGTCGTTTTTTGGGTGCGTTTTAATTTTAAAGTTATTGTGCACCCTAATAAATTGGAAAGTTGTTTAGTACACTACAACATTTAACATTATTTTGTGAGCTAAAATATTATAAAATTCGTTTGTTCACCACAATATCTCCGTGAGAATAAGAAATGGTAACGTTTCATTATTTTCCATTGAACAGTGAGGACTAGTAACTAAACAGTTGGGGTTATATTTTAATTTTTATGAATTACTTGAAGAAATGTTTGTAAGACTTCAGCCTTAAATGAACGTTATTTGTCTTGTTGAACTAATCCAAGATTCAGTTAATGTTCAACAACAGAGATTCAGCTAATAATGGACGCACATTCAAGGTTAAAATAATGGACACACATTCAAGATTTAAATAATGAACATACATTTAAAGTTAAAATAACGGACGCACATTCAAGATTAAAATAATGGACGCACAATCAAGGTTAAAATAGTGGACTCACAATCAAGGTTAAAATAATGGAGTTACATTCAAGGCTCCGCTTATGGGCACACTTTATGTAAAAGTTCAGCTAATGGACACACATTCAAGGTTCAAATAATGAACACACCTTCATTAGAAGTTCAACGAACAGACATAAATTCCATATTTAACTAATGGACACACCTTAATTAGAAGTTCAATTAATGGACGCGTTTGTTAATTAACGTTAACGTAAGATTTCGTACGTGAGTTAACAGGCAACAAATATTGTATCAATTAGGTGAAAAAAATAATAGAGATACAAATCTACCATAATGTGCAATTAATTTGGAATTTTCAGATAATTGAAAACAAAATGGCCTCTATATTCTGTTCAAATCATTGCTAAGCCCGCATAAGGAATTTTTGTGCTGCAGTATGCAATGATATTAAAATTCATTATATTATTTATATTAACTCATTATTTTGAGTTTAATTATCAAAGATTCAGGTTATTAAAATGCATTGTGAATATTTTAGACAAAATTTAGGTCTGACCACATGATTTTTGATAATGTTTTTTTTTCTTTTCATTGTTTGAATTTATGAGAGTAATATTTTGACATTATTATATACTTGATTATGTTTTTAATTAATTGGCGTTGACAGTTTAGTTTTTAGTTTATAACCCATTTTAATTTTAATAAGGCGGCAACTTCACCAATACTTGTAATATTAATTTCATGTCTATTAAGGCAGTCAGAAGCGGAGCTATTTAACGTCCAAGTCGTATTGAGTCTGCGGCAAAAACTGTACGGTCTTTGCAACTAACATTCAACTAACTCCAGGAAAACTCTACGGTCTTTGAAACTAACATTCAACTAACTTTTGCTCGTGAAAATGAGCAAACTTGTCCTAGCGGTTGCATTAGCATATCTTGGTTTTGCCTCTGGGATTTATTCATTGAGATGGTATCATGTGACATGAATATACAGTTAAAAAACAACTAGAATTGTTGTTTGGAAATGTAAGAATAGGTCATATTTTGAGTAGAAAATGCAGTGATTAAATGTATAATTCAATGCTGCTCAAGCGTCAAGCTTAATATTTCATAGTGAAGCCTAATGTTTCATAGTTTTTTCCCTCTGTGTTAATGTTCACGCTAATGTCAGAACGTTAAAATTTTAAGTTTACAAAGTTAATAATAATAATTAAGTTAAAACTTTTAAATTATTTTTAAAATAATATCTAGGCTGAAAATTCTCCCAGTAAGAAGGCACTATCACAAAAATACATCCTAAAATACGTAACACAATTAACTTTTCCAGAAAAACATATGTAGTAAAAAGGGTAGGCACTATAACAAGCATTTTAAAATACTTTATCACTTTAATTAATATTCCAATACAATTTATACAAGATTCCACTCAAAAGGATAAGCCGTCGTCATCCTCCTTATTAGAACAAGAACACCAGATTTTACTCGAGCTGCTACTGAAGTATCAATGTAAAGAGATTAGCAAATATCGCAGCTGATGCCACGTATTAATTCTATTATTCTCGAAACCGCGATTACAGTCAGCTCGAGCGCAAACTATAATAAAATTTCAGATTGTAAATGACATTAAAGATATGAAGCTCCTCCCCATATTAGAAATAATAAGATGATTATGATTCTTTATATGGCAAATTAAGGATGAATTTAAAATCAAAAGAAAGTGTCTGTGGTGCATTCCTTTGTATTTTCCTAGCCTTCAAATAATTTAGGAAAATATATTAATTTATGCTTCTACCGAGTAAATTCCCACAAACAAAAAAAAAATATAATGGAAAAAATGTTAACTAAAAATTTCCTTCGATGCACCGAAAGAGTTATAAAAAATGTTTACATGTATTTCACCAAATTGTACATAATTATAGAGTTTAGAAAATTTCAGTAACTTGACTCGCTTAATTATGTAGATTTCGATTTAATTTGATGATAAGAATTCAAGAAAATGGTTTACTTTTACACTCAGGTTTTCCGAAATTTAGTATATCTTTTAATGTATTACAATCGCTGAACTTCTACAATACATAGTCATTCATACTAATGTGCTACGGTGTACATACAATACAAAGCCATTCAACACAAATGTACATACAATGTACAAACAATATATAGTCATTAAATACAAATGCACAAACAGTGTACATGTAATTCATTGTCATCAAGTATTTAAAATCATGAGCTGTAACTTCACTCTCACATAGTTACTGCAAGTAAAAATTCAGCCTTTTTTACATCTGTAATGTTATTCCTACCTGAGGGTAAAGTATTACATATCTTGTCCTTGCAGAGATGTGCATTCTCTTGTATCTAATGCTATTCCTATCAGCACTGTGACTCAACACTTGTTTACAGTGCTATTCCTACCAGAACTGTCAGTCAACACTCGTTTACAGTGCTATTCTTACCTAAATTGCTGCCCAGATGGCAGAAGATCCAGCTTAACCGCGCCGCGGTTCCCAGCTGCACTTGCAGTTGCAAGCCGCGCCTAATTACTGGACTTTAAGAACTTGGTAGCGGCTACTTAACCAAACTTTTATTTCCTACGAAAGATCGCTCCGGAAACTCTACCGCCATTTTGTAAATCTTTTGGTTGGTTTATAGATGGCCGGTGATTGGCCGGGGATAATTCGGCTGTAACGTCGGCTAAGGAAGCGTAAAACTCAAAGCCGGATGTAGACTTCTGGCAGAGGTTCTAGCTTGTTTTGTGTTGAAACTGTGGTGAAGTTGAAGATCATTTCGAGATTCAGCTTGATAATGATTGTAAGTACGACGTGTAAAAATTAATGACATTCGCAAGTAATTAGTGAAGAAAGTATATAATTTAAACCGTGTAAAATTTCCTGCATTTCTAACTCGTATCCTTAGCCTCGTATCTCTGATTTGGTCGTAGCTTTGTTCAGCATCAACGTTCACCCGTCACCATTTACTTATATAAGCATAAATTATACAATTTTACCGCTTTTTTATCATATATTTACTCCTGTTATCTTTCCCTATGTGAAAAATTAATAAAGAATGAATACAGAATAAAATAAAACGGATATGGGCCAAAATAAGTTTAAATAATTCACCCAGACATCGTAATATTAACGTATTTTATTAGGTTTGTAATTGATGTATTTATATAGAGGGTCTAGTTTTAAGTGTTTCTCAAATTGGTTGCCTGAGCTTGTATTTTAAACAATACAGATTTAGGTCTTAATTGGAAATATCGATATTGAAGCGAGAATCTCCATATTTCTCTAAAATTGGTCGCCTGAGCATATATTTTAATCAATGCAGATTTGTGTATAAATTGGAAATATATCAAGGATCTCCAAATTTCTCTAAAATATTTGCCTAGTGCATGCATATTTTACACACCCTGAGCCTCTACAGTAAAGCCATGACATAACCTTTCACATGTCAACTGATATTCCCCAGCAACCTGATAGTTGCTATGAGAGAAGGATACTCTGGCACCAGCCAGTCAACTGCTCGGTGACTGGAACTTTTCGGTGGTGAAACTACCACTTGTGCGTCGTTAGTCTTCTGTTTTACTATCAAAAATCTAATGTTATCAAAATTTTAAGAGCTACTCAGAGTACAAATTATTTTTCAAATGTTTTACTGAAAATTATTAGCCCGCTCAATTAAAATGTATTTAAATTTAGAACTATCCCCATCATGCCGGCTAAACATGAGTTGTTATTGTCAATATTACATTCTTCTCAAGGAATTGCACATTAATGTGGTAAAGATGGTAAATACCATTGAAACCAATTACAACCATTAAAACCAATTAACCTTTAATATTGATGATGGACCGACATTTCCGTTGCTCAAATCCATGAAATCGGGTTCCCTGGTAATATGTGTAACGAATTTTCATATCTTTTGTATTTGTTTGGCTAAATTAAAATTTATATTTTAATTTACACTTGCAGAATTTAATATTGCAATTTTTTGTTATAATTATTTGAGAAAAAGATAAACGTTCGGATATGCTTAAAGATTCTTGTTGGTAGAATATGACTTGATTTACAAAATATTTTACAAAAACGTCAGAGACAAGGAAAGTATTCAATTATTCGTTAATTAATAATATATGCATTGCTTTCAGTCTCCTAATAATTTTTGACAAAATAATTTATTTAATACAATTATCTATCGGGAGTCATAAAGCGGCCAAAGAGCAACGGTGTTATCTACAGCAAAGGAAGGCTTATTAATTGCATTATAAAATTTTACCGTTACCATAGTATACTTATTTACAAAGTAAGCTCGCTCAAATTATTGAAACGAAAAAAATTCAATTTAAAGAATAATAAAGCATTTATTTTAAACAGAACTATTTAATTTTTAAAGTCTCGTGCCACTTGAAGTAGCATTTAGTCGAAGAATATTTTCTCATAGTATATATGTTAGCAGGAAGTTCCTTGTTGTTGACGCGCCCGTAAGGAATTCTCCCAAACACACACTTGGGCCGCAGCAATTTTGTCCGCCATTGGAAGTCATTCTTGCGGAAACGTCGCAATTTCTGTTTTAATTTCCGCCGACAGCTCGGATGTAGTTTGGCCTGAGGTTACTTTATTTAGGCCAGGGTCAGTTTGTTGTTAAGATACAAAAATCAATTTATAAATAAAAACATTTAAATCAAATTGCGCAAGTGTTTAAATCAAATTGTGCAGAACAATTTTCTTTAGATAGAATGGGGTTTATTTTGGCTGGGATTTGGTGTTAAGAAATATGAACAAACTTGGAAATGTACTTGATTTACAACTACTGAGATACAAATGTATAAAAAACAATCCTATTTTAGGAAGAACTTCTTGAATCAATTCAAAATCATGTAAAAAGCTACTGTAGAGAAATTATTCCCAACTTCACTCAACATCTTTTAATTTTCAATGAGAAAACTGGGTAATATGTTTATAGTGGTTAATTTAAACATGTATGAATACATTAGTTACATTTAAATTCGAAAGAGGTTCAAGGGAAATTACGAACTCTACTTCAGTCAACCAAATTAGTTTCTGAACATCAAAATTGAAAAAAAAATTATTTGCTGGTTTTTGTAATTTTTAGCTTAGAATAAACAGCCATTTTGCCCAAAAAATTCTCACATGATTATTGCTTTTTTGGAATAAAATCTAACGAAATTTATTTGAATTATTTCAAATTTTTGTAATGAAATTTCTTGTAATGAAGTCTAGCGGGTTCGTCTAAACTTCCGAAATATTTCAATGATCAGACAGCTCAGTACTTTGAAAAGTTATCCGTGGAAAGTGTTAAATGACTGAAGAAAAACTAAATTTAGTGCTGAAAGCGCGAAATGGCTTTTGAAAGTGTAAAACAGACTTAAAAGAGCAAAATGGCAGTTGAAAGTGAAGAACGGACATGAAAAGAGCCAAATGGCAGTTGAAAGTGTAGAACAGACGTTAAAAGTGTCAAATGACCGTTAAAAAGGAAAATGATACTTAAGATTGTGCAAAATTGGTTACAACATGGATCCGCTGAATTCTTTTCCCAACATCAAGTTAATAAATATTTTCTTCAATAGCTTCGTAATGACTCAGTGTGATAATTAAATATGAATGAGTATAAATTAAAAAAAATTCAATTCAAATTATTTCCCTTGCAGATCTCACTGATGTTCCGCGCTCCGCCCTCGCTTTCCTGCCAAAAAATAAAGGCTGCCGCTGACTGGCCGACGATGATTCGGCCAATATTCTGCAGCGCACCCACACTCAAAGAAATAAAGGGATTATATTGTCCAAATTGTGACATTTTCTGCACGTAGTACTGACTGATACTTAATTTGGCCGGGCCAAATTGGGTGAGGATGAGCATCGCAAGGGCAGAAAGTGTGTCGCTATTTAGACAAATTCTCACTAATTTTTTTAGAGCACATGTGATATACAGAGAGCGTGGCTCTCAGCTTTTCTGTACGCCTTTTACTTACCATTTGAATTTACCTGCGCCGTGTATATATGGGATATGGTATATATATGGTATATACATGTATATATGGTATATATTTATGTTATATACGTGGTATATACTGTATATTATATATACATGATAAATACGGTATATATATATGGTATATACGTGGTATATACCGTATATGGTATATATACATGTATATATGGCACTGCAAAACAGCTTTAATAATTGCGAAGTGTCGGTGATTGTCTGACTTGAATTGTAACTTTACCTAAAATACGAAGCTTTGTCCAATCTTTACATCTTATACTTAAGGTTTCTAGGACTATTTAAGGTCTCAAGGTAAATATAAGGTCTCTGGGTCTACTTTATTAAGGTCTCTAGAGCTATTTGAGGACTCAAGGGCTAGTTAGGGTCTTTAGGTCAATTTATGGTTATTAAGTCTATTTAAGGTCTCAAGGTCTGTTTAAGGTTCTCGGTTATTTTACTCCACAGTGATTTTCGTCATAGATTTTTGAAAAGACTTTGATAAAAAAATGCAATAATTGAAGGGATAATAAAAATAGATATTGTTTAAGAAGTATTTGGCATTTTGCCAATTTTCCGCTCGTCATTATTTGAAATAAGTGAAGCGATCGGTCCATTTTATTCCGTTAATTAAAACTGATGTTTCCAATAGGGCAAAAAAATCGCTGCGATTTCGTTTTTAATTTGGAAACGAATTTTTTAATTTGGAAGGTTTTTTTAAGCTTCTGACTACTTTTAAGCACAAACGTGATTGTTCAAATATGAGAAGCAACAGTCCCCGAATTAAAATTGGATATGACCCTCAAACATGACACATATCAGTGAAACATGACGCATATTAGTGAAACATGACACATATCAGTGAAACATGGCACATATCAGTGAAACATGACACATATCAGTGAAACATGACACATATCAGTGAAACATGACACATATCAATAAAACATGATACATATCAGTGAAACATGACACATATCAGTGAAACATGACACATATCAGTGAAACATGACACATATCAGTGTAACATGACACTTATCAGTGAAACATAGCACATATCAGTGAAACATGACACATATCAGTGAAACATGACACATATCAGTGAAACATGACACATATCAGTGAAACATGACACATATCAGTAAAACATGACACATATCATGGCGTAATTTTACTGTACGTCTCAAATTCCCGGTATAAATTACAGAAATTAATTTAAAATTATGAAAAAATTTTAATAATAATGTAATTTTTACTTATATAAATGCGAAAAAATATGTAAAGTTAGGTGATGTTAATTGTTGACACAACCAAGTCCCGAATGTTGACATGCTCAAAAACATTTAATTCCTGAGCACCAGATGGTTGCCTATGCAGGTAGGAATAGCATTTCGAATAAGACAATTGATCTGACGTCTGTTGGAAGGGTGGTCATTACAAATCAGATCAGGTAGGAATAGCATTACGAATAAAAGTACGAAAGTGCCCAGTCGATTACTAGAACACATTAATAAAAAGCGTTTCTTATTTGACGTGCAGATCCCTTTCATAATTATAATTTCCGGTAAAATTAAATTCATAGCAACGAATGCATATTAGTACCATTAATCGTTTAATAAAATATTGTATCAATTATTTTTGTGATGATTAGGCAAATGAATACTAATTGCTGTTCACGTTTTGACGAATTTTAGATCATCAAAATTTTCATACAAACTAGGAAAAATTAATTGTACATCAGTGAATCAGTGAAATTAACAAAATTAATAGTAATTTTGTTATAAGAATAATCAGTTATGTCGTAAAATTGATAATCAACGATGAATTGAAATATTCACGAGCGTATGGAGGCCAATGGCCGCTCCTAAGCTGGTGGCAGTCGAAAAAATTTGATTAAATATTCCTGTATTGTATTATTCCATCATAAACTAATTATTATCTTTATTAGATTATTATCTATATCAGATTATTATCTTATATTATGATCGTGAATTTACCATATCGCAATAAATCTTATCTGTATAAATATTATTGTGCTTGTCTTATTTTGATATAAACTTAAGTATAATGAGGCAACGTCGTAGAGCTGCCAAGCAATAATGCATCTTTTAAAATGAAGGGAAAATATTAATTGTAAACCAAGTAAAAAAATAATAAGGATTGTATATAAAGTGCAATAAGCAATAACTTTGTTTTTCATTTTATCCACCAGTCACGAAATAATGCCTAAGATATCCATCAGTAAATCGATGGCAGCCAATAACAAATATCAAGCCACCAATAACTGGGTATAAGAGACTATTCATATACAGTATAGTATGTTCTTTTCTATTAAATGCATTTTGTTCACTGAAATGCTTCAATGTGTTTGTTACCAATGGAGTATGACTCATTATTCATGTTCAAGGTATTAATGTCATAAGTTTTAAATTTTTAATTTTTTGGGAAATGAGTGAATTTTGAGTCCAGAATTCAAACATCGCAGCACGTGTCTCATTACTTAAAAATAAAAAATGGAAGAGTTTTTAAAGAAGTTTTTATCCGTGAAGTTTTTTATTTAATCTCGAAGAAAAAATCTCAATCGTGAAGTTGAGTTCCGGTGAGAAGGAAATTAAAACTTTTAAATTAAATCAACTCGCAAATTTTCTTGACGCCGTGAAAAATCTGCAAAAATTATCTTGAACTCCAGGAAAAAGTTATTGCATCACTTCCCAGCCTCTGCATCACTTCCCAGCCTTTGCATCACTTCCCAGCCTCTGTCCCAGCCTCTGCATCACTTCCCAGCCTCTGCATCACTTCCCAGCCTCTGCATCACTTCCTAGCCTCTGCATCACTTCCCAGCCTCCGCATCACTTCCCAGCCTCTGCATCACTTCCCAGCCTCTGCATCACTTCCCAGCCTCTGCATCACTTCCCAGTCTCTGCATCATTTCCCAGCCTTTGCACTTCCCAGCTGCCTCTGAAACATAAATAAAATTCACCAAAAAATGGAAATCGCTTCTCCTTTTCCCATTAACTTTAAATCTCGAGGGAATTTCCCCTGCATTATTTCCCTGCGTTGATTACACGCACTTCCCCGCTGCTTAGATTTATGCGCTAAATTAAGCCAAGCTTTATTTGTGAGGAGGGATTTAATTGCCACATGATTAATTAAGATTAATGCTAGTTAATTTGTTTATTCGATGCTATGGGTTATATTTGTTTATATATACTGTATTCTCGAGAACTTGTTTACGAAACCAAGAGTACTTGTAACAAGTCTTTTTATTGAATTTTAATTTAGTGTCGAAAAGTGCGGAATTTGTGAAAAATGAATTTCTAAATAAACACACAAGCCATTCACCATTCATTAACCGGACCACGTCGGTAAATCACCGACGACGTGAAATCTATTATTTTCTTACGGGTAAAACAATCATAAATGATTCAATGAAGGAAATGCGTATGGTACATAATATCAAAACCCATTATTCCAAATTGATAACATACATTCAGACTATGGTAAGTAATCATAAAATATAATATATAATACAATTGATAAATAATATATAACATACACATAAATAATAAAATCTAATATATTCGTAAGGCTGTGAAAGAGGCGCGTGCCTGGAGTCCATTTAGCCTCTAATGGCCCATTAAATCGATGCTTTTAGATTCCAATCAATTCATTAACCATATATTTAAAGTGCAGACTCAAATTAAACAATCCTAATTAATGATTATACTCATAATCATAATTATCAATTAAATTCCCTATTACTTACTATCTTGTTATAAAGAAGACTTTTTCCATTTAGAATCGTTTGAAAGTAAATAACGATAATACCAAATGAATCATGACTGTCCTATAGACATATTATTTCATTGATATGAATTACGAATAGTGAATTGCCCATCTATAAAAATATCGACAAGAATTTGATCGGAATCTTATTAATATTTTGATCGGAATTATGTTGATGGTTATGAAACAATTGATAATTTGATATGCTCGCATTAATCGGAGTTATAGATAACTGTAAAAAAAATCAAAATTCACATTATATTTTCATATATATACCATTGAATGTAAAATGCTTTTTCTAGTATTGGGTTCACTGTCGCAAGTATTGATGCTTCAAATACAAGAGATTATTGAGAACTGAATAATGAATGTGAATTAATGTAGAGTAGGAACGGATGATCTGAATGGGACTATTGTTAGTCTCTGGGACCAGGGCTTTGTCCCAGCTTTTCTTCAGGTATCCAAGGAACTAGGTCCATGTCCCAGCTGGTACCGTGTGTCCCAGCGACCTAGTCTTTGTCCCAGTTGGTACCGTGTGTCCCAGTGACCTAGTCTTTGTCCCAGTTGGTACCGTGTGTCCCAGTGACCTAGTCTTTGTCCCAGCTGGTACCGTGTGTCCCAGGGATCAAGTCTTTGTCCCAGCTGGTACCGTGTGTCCCAGGGACAAATACTTTGTCCCAGCTGGTACCGTGTGTCCCAGGGATCAAGTCTTTGTCCCAGCTGGTACCGTGTGTCCCAGGGTCCAAGTCTTTGTCCCAGCTGGTACCGTGTGTCCCAGGGATCAAGTCTTTGTCCCAGCTGGTACCGTGTGTCCCAGGGATCAAGTCTTTGTCCCAGTTGGTACCATGTGTCCCAGGGACCAAGTCTTTGTCCCAGCTGGTACCGTGTGTTCCAGGAATCAAGTCTTTGTCCCAGCTGGTACCGTGTGTCCCAGGGACCAAGTCTTTGTCCCAGTTGGTAACATGTGTCCCAGGGACCAAGTCTTTGTCCCAGTAGGTACCGTGTGTTCCAGGAATCAAGTCTTTGTCCCAGCTGGTACCGTGTGTCCAGGGACTAAGTCTTTGTCCCAGTTTGTCCCCATCGATTACCAGGTGCGGCTTACACGCCAATTAATTTAAAGATAATTAATAGCGAGTTCCACTAATGAAGATTTATTAGAATTTATCGTTTGACTCAAATAAATAATTTAAGCTTATTTCATATTGAAAGTAATTTCCATTCATATATGATGAAACTGACATAAAAAA